GTCTATATAGTTTTTAATTAAGTTTTTGTTTATTTAAAGTTATTTTAGTACTTCAACTTAAACTAAAATGAGAAAGTTTGCCTTGGCAACTAGGTGAAAATTAATTTTTAATTATATTTCAGGTAATGTTTATTTCAAGTAATGAATATGTTTTTTATGGTTTTAGTTTCAGTTCACCATAATAACCCTAGACTAAGCCTACAGTTAAACTGTGAAATGGGTAATGATTTCTACAGAAAACATATTAGTATTAACATTATATTATACAGTATGTGGAACAGAATGCTGTAATATATCAAATTGTAAAATCTCTTAATTATGGTTATTTTGGATTCTTAATACAATTCTCCAGGTAAAATAGCATGACTTTTGGCAGTCTGATTGAAAAAGATTGTTAAATTGTAGTTTATCACTTCCAGTTTATTTGTTACACTGAAATTGAGTTGAGTGCATTGCATGGTGGGAAACAGTATCTCTCTCTCTCTATCTCTCTCTCTCTCTATCTCTCTCACACAAACAAAGTGTGTCCTGCTGTATAATGCACATTTTGCAGGTTGACATCTGGATAATGCATGCATACAGATCCAGCTATACATACTGTATACAAACTCTAAAAAGAGTAGGATAATGCTTCAACTCAAACTAAAAGCCTGACCTCAGTGTGATACAGTGTGTGATACTCACAGTGTGATACAGGCCTCCGTGCTGACAGCACACAGTGAATGTTTTTACTGGAGACACGTGATCCATCATCATTAGACTTTCCTCCAGTTCTATTTCCTTCTCCAGTTTAACCAAAACCGGAGGTTCTATCCCATACCTAAACCAACAAACAAAACACCCCATCAACAAACTGTCCTAACAGTAAATTCTAATGTTTTACATGTTAGCTTGGGTTTTTGTCTTTATCAGCTTATCACAATTTAACTTAACTTTGCTATAATGACCATTAAATGGCATAAATAACTGCTGATTTTCTCACACAATAAAATAATGTCAAACTCAAATCAGAATTTTACATTTATTTGGTAAGTTTCAAGGTAATAGTCAAGATAATATACATTCAGATGGTCATTATTGCAAAATAAAGCCCTTTACATTATACATATATTGTCACTGTTGTGTTATTCTAGAAACTCTAGAAATTCAGATTTGTTTTAGATTCTCTACAGCACAATAGCTGCTCTAAGCACTGAAGCCAATTCACTTAAATCCTGTAAAATCCGTGTAAATTTGCCCTCCGCCCAACTTTAAAGCCCCTAAAGCAGCCCCTGACCTTTGACCCCTGACCCCAAAGCACAACCTGACATCTGTCACCTGCGGGATCATCAGAGCCGGTTTGCTTACCTGGAGACGACGCGTCCGATCTCCAGCAGGCACAGACACACCTGCCGCGGCTCTTTATGCAGGACTGGGGAAGGGAGGGAGAGCCGTTACCATAATTACTCAGCGATCATTCACTGTCAAAGTTATTAAGGCTACAGACATAACAGGTACAGGGTTTTAACTAATAGATATCACTATACATTTAATTAATCCTAGTACATTAAAACACAATTTTGTTACATGTAAATATGCAAATGAAGTAATATTTAATAAAAAATTCACTTAAAGGCACAATATGTAATTTTCGCCGCTAGAGGGCACGTATTCATGTGTCACTAATTGCTTATTTCTCTGGATTTAAACATTCTTCGAAACATTTGGGATAATGTAAGTACACAAGTCAGCAAAATATATAACACTGTTCTAGTGGTTTTTGGATATTTTATTAAAAAAATCTTACATATTGTGCCTTTAAAATTATTGTTTATGGACATATTAGAATTAGGTTTTTACAGAGGAGATTATGTGCTTTTGTTCATTTTATTAATACTAAGTATTACTGTTTTAGTTTAATTTATTAATGTTTATTTTTATTTTAGTTTTTATTTATTTCCACTTAATCATTTTGGTGCTTTAACTTAAACTTCAAATAAATTTAATTTATTTTAAGCTTTTCATCCAAAAAGTATAATTTTATGTCATCCTTATTTCAATTAACAAAAATATTTTTAATCGTTTTAGCTAATGATAATAACCCTGCTTCTGATATATGTTTAAATATGCAAAATGAGGCATTATATAATTACATATGCACTCGTTTGCATATATTTCCAGAACAAGAATCTAAATATTGGATAAAGCCAGGTTCAAAATTCTTGTTTTATTTTGCTATATAAGAGTCAAAGGTTTTGTAGGTCTTAAATGTGTACTACGTTCCACTAGTCTGAAAGAAGGCATGTTATAGACGCAAGATAGCCTAAAATCTCAAAAATAACCAGTGCATGAAAAAACAATGGTTTGCCTGTAGTGTCTTGACTTGAATGGGTTATATAATGAAAATCAAATCATTTAAAATTTAAAAAGTTCTACATATTCATAATTTCAGGTCTTAAAACTCCAAAAAGATAATTAATTAACCTTTCAACTCAGTAGTAAATGTTGTTACTCATTTTTAATGCACACAGGTCAGCCAATCATAATTTTGGAAAAAATATCAAGACTTAAAAAAAAAAATAAACTTCAAGAAAGTCTCTGTTTTAGCCACATGCACCACTGACATTCGTTTGGGTTTGGAAACTTGCTGGCCCATCTCTCACACCGGCCCGATTACAGGTCACACTGAGTCCTGTCAGTTTGCATCCCATAATGCACGGTGACACATGGACTGATAACTGGCGCTCTTCAGGACAGCAAGCATTAGGGCCGTCAGGTTAATCGCTCACACTCATTAACATCATGGATTTACGGAGAGCCAGGGACGTGCGGAGCCGCAGCTCAACTGACGTACACGGCCACAGATCCTCTGAAACGATTACGGTCTGTTAAACAGCTCAGAGAGAGACACATTAGCACAGCGGGGCCACAGAGGACGCACAGGAGGACGCTGGTCTCGGTTTAAATACATTCATTTAACCAACATGATTAAAGTCCAGTTCTAATGGACTGACAGTGACAGATTGGACAGATGCAGGTGAAGTCTATCAGTTTTGGAGAGCTGGTCTTCATGCCGCTCAAAACCTTCAACCCAGTCAAATTTTTCTTCTAATATTGATATAAAAATAATCATGAATCGTAGGTAGCAGATCTATGAAGTCAGTTTATTTTTTTCCCAAATTTGGTTTTATTTTTTCCCAAATTCTGTGTTTTTTGGCTTAATTCTTTGGATTCTGTATAATAATCAAAAAACATGTCTAATCAAGTGAAATCATACAATTTTAACAATTTAATATATTATTATTGTGTAAAACACTATTGTGTTTTATTTTTTCCAAAATTCTGTGATGTGTGTTTTATGGTTTGTAAATGTATTACCAAAAACCATAAAACAAATGAATGCATAAAATATTATTTTAATTAATCATTTAATATGTAAATCAAATGAATAAAAAAAAAAGATACAAAAATACAAACAAAGTGAAAACAAAGCTGAATAACAAACTTATGCACAACAGAAATTTATTATGGAAATTAAAATATGGATGGAAAAGTTTGAAACATTGAGTGATATTCATAAAAAAAATTATAATAAACTGTATTATGTAAACTTATTAAGTACATTCTACTGTACAATAATAATATGTCTGTCACCATTTCTTCAAGTTAAACTAAATTTTTTATTTTGGTGGTTTGTAGTGAAGGCATGTGTTTCTGTGTGTATTTGATAATAGTATTAATTTATCAATCCAAAATAAAATTTTTATGACTGGATTCTGTGATTCTGTTCCACGTTTTCCATATTGTGGAAATCACATGGCCCTAAGCAGAGTATCACTTCACTTCATTACGTTTTGTTGCAACAATGTAAGCAACATTGTTTTAAATATTATAAATAAATAATATGTTCAATACAGAGCTCTCTGGAGAAGGATTTTGGATTAATGTGGCAGTACATCCATCATGACAGAAATAGAAACTAGGCGATGCACAAAACATCCCGTTCTGCTCGTGGCTGAATAGTACAATAACTTAACTGTTAACCACTGCGGGGACTTAATTCTACATTGCACCTAGACACCTGATCAAAAGATCTCTTACCCAAACCCTCAGACTCAAACAGATATGTCTCGTCCACTCCTATGTGACGACACCAGCATAGAAAATTCGCTGTGTTGTCCCGAGCGAAAAACGATCCAGGGGAGGCGTTTTTCTTGAACTGGATTTTCTTTGACAGCAGCTAACAAAACAGAAATGGGAATTACACACAAACAGTCCTGCGGTTATCCGAGCTGCATCGCCGCCCACCACACGTCACACATTCCTTACGCACCTGTGTTTCCGAGTCCTGTGGGATTTTACTCTGAAGAATTCCAACCAAACGACACAGTTTAACACCGTTGTCCAGCTCCTCCATGAAGCATTCGGCTGTCACCTGCTCACCTACAAAAACACAGATATCTATGTTTCCAATGACCTCAGAACAACTGTAACCTTTAATTGAATTCAGCATCATTATGCCATCCCGAGCTGGCTTTGATGATCACAAGTACAATATCTTCGTTTTCACGTAGAGGGCAAAACAAGGCTTTCCTACCAGTTATTTTTACCAGGATTGTACTAAGCACTTGTATACTAAAACAGTGACCAGATTCTGTATACACCTTACTGATGATGCACACTATATACAGTTGTGCTATATACACACTATATACAGATGTGCTCAGAATATGAACACAAGTTATGCAATGCGCTTTTCCCATTGAAAACAATTGTTTAAAAAAAAGCCTAATGTGGCTTAAACCATTAAGACAGTGATTTTGGAGAACCAAATCCACTATACACTATACTAATTAAGCGTACTAGTACATACAGGTAAGCACATGAGCCCAGAATATGAGTGCAATGCGCAAAGTTGCACGTTAAGCAGTTTCTTTATTATGGTTTTCTATGGGAAAATGCTTAATGTGTTACATTAATTTTCAAGGCCCATCTGCTTGCTTGTATATAGTACGCATCATCAATGAAATGTTTACTGAATGTTATCTTTTAATATCACTGTATAAGTTCATGTTAAAGGTGCAGTAAGTAGTACGTCTAGCAGACTGACTGACTCGACGCTAATGTGGGTTGCCAGATTGAGGATTCACAACAGAAATGAGCTTCTTATTCCTCTGGTCATAGAGCTTTTTAACTGGATTCCGAGGGTTTTTAGGTCAGATAGAGTCTGCGATCTGGTTTGCTGGTTTACATGGCTGCAACATGCTGTGTTTTCCACCAACTGGCAACCTGGGGTGTCAAAATCCTATTGGGTAAACTGGCAGTGGGCAGAGTCACACAGACCAAAAAAAAAACAGACATCCCGACACAGAACACACATTTCATGTTATTCACTAGAATAACTGGCTGTAGCATTGCTTTTTTGGAGAAACAAGTATGTGAACTTGGCATGTTTCCTTAATATCTGCAAAGATATTATGGTATTTTTATGCTTTAGTACAGTCAAAATATTACATAGAGCACTTTTAAGTACAAGATGGAACGAGACAACCTTTACAATGATGCAAAAAGTCACTTTCCAAAACCTTCACTCTCTCTGTTCTCCTCTTTTGTAGCTTGCCTAATCTTGCCTTAATCTAGTTGTCTAATAAACCAGGCAGTGTATATTATGAATATTGTTTGCCCCTTGACGAATTGCTGTGTTCTTTTATAAGCTGCTTTGGATAAAAGCATCTGCTGAAGGCATACACGTAAAATTGACAGGCCTGTGCTGCAGTTCTATGACTGTTTTGTCCTCCAGGTCTCCACGCCAGTCACGTGACTGAAAACTATGAATAACAAATAAAATTCAGACCTATCACGCCACAATCACCAATACCCTGTCAGTGGATAATAAACAAGGTCGACAGCACAAAACAGTCATATTTAGAGTATTTTGTTCAAATTCCACAACGTATTCAGTGTATTATCTGAAAGAGGACTATAGGATTACAAGGACTTAATGTAAAAAAAAAACAACAACGAACAGAGCAATAGGTTTATGGGTGAACGTTTTTGGCCCGGGTGAACATGCTCAGCATGTGGACAGACAGGTAAGGGCAACACCCTCCATTATTCTACAAAGACCGAGAGATTGAGTTCTTGTTTCGGAGGTCGTATATCACCGTTATACGAGAGCAAACGTCGTTTCCCACACTTCTTTGCTTGATATATGAGGCTTTGGGTTTCAGTTATTTGACCGACGAAAGGAAAGGACATATAGACTAATAATAGCAGTAATTTTTCGCTTTCATGCACTGAGAGTGAGTCATAGACGGCTTGTTTTGCGTGAGCAGGTTTACCCAGCATGCCACTCAGCCAGATGGCCAGATCCTCCTGCATGGGCACCAGTGTGGCTTCGTGTCGCACAGCCAACCACTGGTCATACTGGAACACATCAGCCAGACCCGGGCCGGGCCGGGGAGAGCGCAGGCCGCGAGGACTCTGTAATGGGACATCAAACTTCTCGCCGAACCAAGCCTGAGAGAGAGAAAGAGGAAAACCAGACAGCTCAACATGTGCACACAGAGAAACACACACAAAACTGTCTCGGGGCCACAATGACCCCTCACACAGATTCCACGCTCTCTCTCCGGAAAGACGGCGACCCTGCTGAAATCAGGGCAGTTTGCAAACACTCAAGCACTAACAAACATGACTAATCAAACAAATGACAACTTACACAAACAGAGGAGTAATAACATTTATATAAAACAACACTCTCATAAGTGAACTTGTGGTAAAACCTCTCACAGACTTCACACAAACATGCTGAAGTTAAAAACTTGGGCTTAAGTATTCAAACAAACCCCTAACAGTGAGTATTAGGGATGTGCATCTCATGACTGAGGTTGATACGATACGCATCTCGATGCATAGCCAACAATACGATACATTAAAGATACATATGAAGCAGCTACCGATGCGATGCGATATGATTCACCCCTATTACGATGCAGTGCGATCCGATTTCGATTCAACACAATGCGATTCGATGCAATGGAAAAAATATGATCACTTTTAATGCCTCAAGGCCTGTTTCATAAAACAAGTTTACCAAATAACCCAGGCTTATTTCAGTTAGTCTGACTCATTGTCAAATGATTTGGTTCCATAAAGCAAATTTAACATAGATCAATTTCAGTCACTGTGGCAACGTATGCTGGGAAACTAACCTGGTCTAAAGCAGGTTAACTGTCAGACTAAGCTGAGTTCCTCTAACACTGACCAAAAGGAACACTATTATTTGACTTTTTTTTTTTTACAGTTTCTAGCCAAGCAGAACGGCTCTCTCTGGTTTTATGACAGCTGTACCTTTGCAGAACATTAAAGCATTAAAATAACTAAATTAAAAGTTAAAATCACTGAATTAAAATGAAAATAAATAATAAAGAAAATGACTTCTAAACTGCTATAAGAAACACACATTAACTCATTTGAGCTTAGTAATTAGTACTGAACTAGCTTACATTTGATTTACCCATTATAATAGTCCCTTTACAGTAACCTACTGTCTGCTATCATAAAAATACACTTATATGAAGGTTTCAAATTCTACAAAAAGCACATTTAATGTCCAACAACCAATATTTTAGCAAAATGTATATTTTACTCAGAATTATTGCGCTCCTATTCGATTGCGCTCCGTCTCGTTTAGCACGCATGCGCGCAGCAGCGCTCGTTCACTCGCGTAAGCCTCGCCCACTCCTGACAGCAAAATGGATAT